GCTTCCGCTGATGTATCGGGACCAGTTGCACGTCTCCGTTTCTTCTCAGCGACGTGACGCGAAAATTTATTTCGCCAGCTGACGTCCCACGGGACCATCTCGTTTTCGTCGCCCTGGTAAAAGCATTGTTTCATCGGAACTGTTATCGCGCCTCTTCCTCGTCCACGTTGACGGTGCCACGTTACGAATTGGTACACGACGAAAACGTGCGACATCGTTTCTGCTGATAAATACCGGGAGATAAATCACAGGAGGGTGGATGAACTTCTCGACTGTTGGGTTTGGGGGAAGATTGTCTAAACGAGGCGTGAAGTATTCAACGAAGATAGGGAAGATATAAGGTATTTAATTCGATACGTGACTTGAAACATATCCTTGTGGGGCTCAGGTGTTTCTCACAAAAGGAAAGCCAGTCTGTTTGGTCACATACAATATAATAGATCCATTTTCCTTGGATTTATACAGAATACTATAACACGCGTAGTATAGAAATCATATTTTCATTTGCAACATTTTCAATATAACAAATTTTCCTGTTACACAGGGTTTAGGTCAATATGACGATAAATGCGATTGGTATTTTGCAACTATCTGACCCAACCACGCCCTCCGTCATCTGAACCTGTAGCGACTTAACACCTCGCTGTGCGTGCATTTTGTATCACCAGCACGTACGTTGCCGCTTTGACGAATCGAAATGAACGACACGAAATGTTCGTTCACGGTACAGGCCATTCCCATGAGCAGGTGTGGAAAACGAGCGAGCAAGGTTGTCTCGGAAGGTTGGTTCAAGGTTGCTAGGCCGTCTTGCCTGGAACGGAACACGGACGGCTCAGTGGCGCCAACGTGGCGGCGCTCGCTATTCTCCCGGTCACCTTGTACCGTGGAAATCGCGAGAATACCTAAAAATACACTGTCGTTTCGGTGATTTTTATCTGAAACAACTCGGGATCGTGGTCTGCTTGTGCTGGGGAGACGGGTTCGTTTCCTCTTTGGAACGCGAGAGGCAAAGTGAATATCTCTGCGGGAGTTTAGCGCGGTCGTTACCGAGTCTAAAGTCGCGTATCCACTGGACGAACAAGTAATTCGCGGATGTTTCTTGCGCGGTAGACATGACTACAAGTGAACCAAACTTGTCCAAACTTATCTCAGATCTATACCTATGGTTTTCGAGTGTTCGTGAGTGGGTCCGTGTCGTTGCTTGTCCTTGCGTTCTTAGTACGGGTGAGAGATGGCCGTGTTCAGGAATTATTTTTCCGGAACGGCTGACGAATATTTATAAACGAGTTTTATTTCGTAGCATTTCGACGGTGGTTGTCAAATGTACTTGGTTGACTGTTTTACACGGTATGCAGAAAATTGACCAATAGATTTATATCAGTAATAAGAATTAAGGTTTTCTTTTTAATATTTTTGTAACTTGAAAAATTCGAGACTCGAAATTTAAGAAGTTCGTAGATCTAATATAATTTACTTAACAGATGAATGTACATTGTTAATTTTTTTAATTTGGTAGCTAGAAATTTAAGGAATTCAAAAATTTAGATTGATTAATATAAAGGAATATTTATGAGAATCTTTCGTTAACCCCACCACATCAGAGTGCTTCGAAGGACACCCTGAAATCGGAAAGGTCATCAAGACATCCTCTTGATTATAGACCTTCTACAACTCGTACAACGTCTCATTAACCACGCTCCGTTTTACAGTTTTGAATACTGGTAAAAGATATGTAAATTCTGAAACGTTTACATAATGATAAGCGTCCATAAATTAAACGAGAGGCAACAAATATCTAATTACGAAAAGCGTAAAAATCCATGACAGGGTAAAGCTGCTATAATTAACATGATATAATTAAAATAGAAGAAAAATGGAAACAGAATTCTTCGGATTCGTTGAACATGTAAGGCGTGAAGCTGGTTTAAATTCCACTGCGCGCGCACGTATCCACGCTATCGTTTTCTAGCGTTCCGCGCACCAGCGTTTGCGCAACGTGAGGGTGGGGATGCGCCGCGAGACATGATTGTGTTTGTCGTGGTAACTGTACCGATAATCTCGCCGATTTTATACCGCGCAAGAAACTTGGCTAGCAGCGTGGAAAGGCACTGCGATAATTAGCCGGTTTGTCTCGACTGTTTTTCTCCGACGTGGCTAAACGCACCGTTAACGGTTCCGATTTTTGCGTTCTGTCGAGAAGAAGATTGGTTAAAGCTTGCTAGGAGGTTCGACGAAGAAACGAGATGAAAGAAGAAAAAAGGTCGATCCAGCGTGCAGCGTCTTCCCGCTGTTATGCTCGTGCACTCTTTGAAGTTTGGAATTGCTTTTGGTTATGCTACAGTCACGTATTAACCAGTTGTTCTTTGTGTTTACGAGGAAATAACTGCTTATGCTAATCCGAGGAGCAGTGAAGAACTAGTGGATCGGAGTTATACGCGGTTTTTGTCGAGTGTCTCTGGGCTATGAGAAGGAAGTTGTTATTATCGCTGTTCACGGGGAAATTTGATTAGGTGTAATGGTTCGTGAAACAACTGTCGAGATTTATGAAAGCTGGCAGGTTTGAAAGTTGTAAATTGGAAAATCTATAATTTTAGAAATATGGAAATTAAAAAATCCAGGGAATCTTTAGAAATTGGAGCATTGAAGCTTTAAAAATTATAAAATTTCATGTTTTAATACTTTAAGATCTCAAATTGTCAGAAATTCACAAATCTCCTTGTCGAAAAATTTAAAAAATTCGAAAAATTGAAACTTTGACCTTTGTACTCTCCTTCTGTCTCCAATATCTGGGGGAACCTTCGCTCGACGTTCCAAAAAATTCGTACACCATTTGCAACGAGCGAAGCAGTCAGTGACACGCGAGTCTACTTCGCTTGTTTACACTGGAAACAGGACGCGTTCTGCTGCTTTTTCGCCGGACGTTGCGTCGATATCCTATTCCCGAGGCAGTATCGCCGTGGAACGTATCGATCAACCATGATCGTCGCTACTGTACACTAGCGAGGAACTGTAGATTGGGTTCCACGAGTGCCGATTGAGAGGCCGCTCGTGGACGCAGGAAGATAGGCAAAATCGTGGCCTCCGTTATCGGATTCAACGTTTCGCGTTGTTATCAGACCTAGCTACTGAAACTCTCACGGTCGAAATATTCACCGATCGGGTTGCCGAGTGAACCACGCTAGCACTTGTATAAATGTTCGTGTAATGACACGAGACTTCCCAGGTATCTCCAAACTCGAAATTCAGATTGGACTTGCAGTGGACGAGTTTATCAAGTTATGTTGAACGACGAAAGTTGAAGTTGAAGTTGAAGTTAGGTCTTCCTTCTTGATTCGGATTTTAAAATTGAACTGTTGAGCTTTTGTAGTCGACAATTTTCGAAGCACTTCTATCAATATTACACGAATTCGTGTCATTTCTTTTCAGTAACTGCAAATTATTTTAATTCTCACTTATATAAATAAATAAATAAGGAAATTAAATACGAATATGTCCGAATGATAACACGGAAAATAAGGTGTTTGAATACATAGGTTTTCTTCGGTATGGATCATATCCTTCGAAGCAAATAAGAAGAAGGAAGATCGAAACGGATATGTAACGTGAAACGAGAGAGAAAAATTGCGAACGATAAGTTGGTGGGCGAATGATCGTTCACGCGTAATTAAACGCAATCGCACTGGGAATGGTGCAGCAGATTTACTTTTCATCGTGCTTAATAGCCGCGGATATAGCTGAAAATTGAACGTTATTTTCCGCGCGTTTAACAATCCTCGTTCCTGGATACGCGTTCCCGATTGATGTCAATTATCTCCCGACTATTGAATTCGTAAATCCCGACCACGCATGCTTCCGAAAAATGATCGTCCGCCGGAATTTCAGCTCGATAAATTCGTCGAGTGAAGCGACAGATCTGATAGTCGCGATAGCTATACCACCAATGCGTTACTTCGTACAATCAGTGAGCGTTAATCGAACCAACGATATCGAGGTTGACTCTAGAACTAAATTTACAATAACGACCTAAGACGAATCGTTCGCGATGAACATTGAACGACTCCTCTGCTCATCATCCAGAACAGGGATCAATTTGGTCACAGTGTCAAGGAAGGCGGTGGGTATGCGATACATCTCTAGAGATCTCTATACATCAATAGAGTTTTATACCTTGCTCTATATGTAGTTAACGTTGCTAGAAATAGGGTTGTACGACAGTTAGATCAAATCTATTTATTAGAGGTAGTCTATTTCGAGACTTTATACTCTTGGCTCATATAGAGGCACATAAAGTATTAGATCATTAAACTAGTTACTTCTGTACATATTTCACTATCAATCCTATCAGTTTCAATCATTTAACGTGCTTGATAACTGGGGGCCTTTGTCTTCGACTTACGCTTGCCTCGTTCCCCCATTGTTCCTAAAATTCATCCTTCTGACTATTTCGTCACCTGCCTTCAAGGTGAGGTGCCAGAAGATTATTTTATTGCATTAAGACTAAACTATACCACATTCCTTTCGACTGCTAACCTATTTGTCACGTACAATGCATATCTACTCTTAGCAACCTAAGAATTACATTTGGTTACTTGGAGCCTGCTTTGCGATAAGAGCATCGACCAAGCCTTCCAATTCCTCTAGCAGAGTGTACAGAGCCTTACCCCTGCTGTCAATAGCTCTTTCCTTAGCCCCTTCAGGTAAACCGTCTACTCATCACGCTCAATCGAGCGGAAGCCAGTGGCTGTCGTCAAGGATAACCCGGATTTAGCGCAGCGACTGTCGCTTCGTCCAGCTTTTCTCACGAATCGATCCCACCTTAAACCCCACCAGTGTTAAGGAATACTCTCTCAGTCTAACCAACCTTCTATTCTCTGTTCCAGGCCCGACCAGTTCGACAAGGACGGATAGCACAGGCTACGTAGCCACGGTTCCCTCGTTCATCCGGGGAAACGACGGATTTTACTGGCAAAAACCGCTGACGATGAGCTAGCGACACGACGATGAGGAGGATGAAGCAGCGCGTGCTGCTCGCCTGGCCATGGTTGTGGCTGTGGCTGCTCGCGGCCACAGCGGGTACCCCGTCTTCCGACACTTTCGCGCCAACCACGTTCTCGTCGTCAGCCAGTAGCAGCAGCAGCAGCAGCAGTAGCAGTGGTATCAGCAGCTTGATCACCAGATCGTTCTCTCCGACGCTCCCGACCTCTACGTCCGCGTCCTTCGCTGAAGACTTTCCCTTCCCTCCTGGTCACGAGTTTCGTTTCACCCTACCGTTGTACAATGTCTCCATCCCGGAGAACTCGATCGGCAAGACGTACGTTGTGCCTGAGGAAAGGATGGGCATAAAGTTGGCGTCGCCTAACAGCAACTTCGACATACGTTTTCGTATAATGAGTGGCGACCGCGACAAGTTCTTCAAAGCTGAGGAACGCACCGTGGGTGATTTTTGTTTTCTCCTGATTCGGACTCGAACCGGTAACGTGGACGTGTTGAACCGCGAACGCAAGGACCGTTACGTGCTAGAGGTGCGCGCCACTCTGACCAAAGGCGACGGTAAGAACCGGGTGACCATCCTGGAGGCGGACACTACGGTCGTGGTGACCATTCTGGATACGAACGACCTGAACCCACTGTTCTATCCAACCGAGTACGAGGCAACCATCACGGAGGACACGCCTCTGCACCGCAACATACTCAGGGTAATAGCCGAGGACGCCGATCTCGGCAGGAACGGCGAGATTTATTACAGCTTCACCGAGGAGACCGATCAGTTCGCCGTTCATCCGGTCAGTGGGGTAATAACGCTCACCAGGCCGCTCAGGTATGTCCGCGTAATAGAATTCTCGTGTTTCGTTTGATGAGCTTGCGGATCGCTTAGGTCCCTACGCCTCGAAACCGCCATTTTCTCACCACTCCCGATTGCCTGAAACTCTTTAAGCGGATCTCACGAAGCAATTTGTTCGGACCTGCTTCTTCTTTCTATTTCCTTTCTTTTGCTTTTGTTCTCTTCTTTTCCCTTTGACGTAGTTCTGACTGCGTAAGGTGACGCGCTAGAGAAGATCGTTTTTGCTCCGAGGTGGTTATAATTTATCCATCGGTTTGATTGATACTCGCGTCTTTTGCACGGTGACAGGGTGGATAGAGTTACCCGAGGTGAATATCGGATCGTGAAGTATGCAAAGTGGTTTTGAACTAGGTGATCCAAGTTCGAAAGTGTGTCGGATTTGAGGTGTTGAAAAATTCTGTCGCATAGAAAAATCTCGAACGGTGTTCCTTATCGCGTGAGTGTGTATTTACAGTGTTACAGCTTTATGAGACTGCTCGGCAAAGCGTTTGAAACGTAAATCAGTCTTTTTTTTTTTTATATAACCGATTTGAAAATAAGGCAGTTTCGATGTAAAATTTCTGTTAAATATTTCGATGCTTTATAACATACTCAATGTCAGACTCAAAGTCCAAACTGAATTAGTTTTTCTTGTATAACGATTTCAGCGTCAACGTTGAAGTTATTATTTTAGTTTCAAAAAATATTGATAAATACGGTGATCGAGAAAATGTGCTGGAAATAAAATTGCAATTTTAGATTAAAATGTCGAGAAATATAGAATAAAATTTTTCTATACTTATTCCTTTAATATAATTTTCACTCTGGTCACTTTTCTCTCTTAGACTGACTATTCGAGCAGAGTTCCGCGAAATCAACGGCAAACAGTATCGTCTAAATTTGTTTGTAGAGCACCATTTAGCCCAAATTTAATTATTGGAAAGAGATTTTACTCGATGCTCGATTTAACGAATTTCTGCTGAACTCTTATTATCCAAACTGCATTCGAGCGTTATTCCAATTACATAAACTGCAATTTTGCCTACGGTACCAACCACAAAAAGAAACAAATGTATGTTTGAATCTACTTATTCAGATGTAAATTTGAGCCATTTGTACGAAAAAATTTGCCCAATGGGTAAACAGACAAGTATCTATTATTTAAACGATCCAGTTGTATCTATATTGCTCATTCCCTGATTTATACAAAGAATTAGAAAATGGAGTTCTACCAAAATTGTTCAGTGAAATCGTAGCAATCCGCATACTGCTCGTATTCTGTATTCCCAATATCTTACTGTCAATAACTAGCCGTATAAAATTCAAATTTCAGTTAAAGATTTCAAATCACGTTCGTCTCTTGTCCATCCAGATACTCAGAGCGAGCTGTCCACGAACTAGTGGTGCTAGCGAAGGACCGTGGCGCCCTCTTTCGTAGTGGAGGTAGTAGTAGAGCTAGCACAGCAACGGTGAAGATCAAAGTACGTCAGGTGAACCTGCACTCGCCTGAGATCTACGTGCACCACCTGCCAGATATCGTGGAACACTCAAATGCCGACATCTATGCGATCGTCCGAGTGAACGACATCGACGAAGGTATTCATGGACAGATCGCAAGTCTGGACATAGTGGGCGGAGACCCAGCCGGTCATTTCAGAATTCGACCTGCTGGTGGACCTCACTCCGGCGAATTCAACATCGAAGTATTACACCTACTTGATCGAGAAACCGCGGAACAAGGTTACAACTTGACCCTTCGCGCGATGGATCGAGGCATCCCTCAACGCATCAGCTACAAATTTGTGCCTGTTCATTTGGCCGACCTGAACGACAACGCACCAGTATTCAGTCGAGAGATCTACGAGGTGAAGGTACCTGAGACGGCGCCAATCAACACGCCAGTGATCAGGTTAAAAGTGACGGACGCGGACGAGGGGAAGAATGCGTTGGTGTCTCTAGAGATCGTGGGCGGGAACGAAGGTGGAGAATTCTACGTGAACGCGGAGACAGGAATGCTGTACACAGCGGCGAACTTGGACGCTGAGAAAAAGGCCTTCTATACACTGACAGTGTCCGCGGTGGATCAAGGGAACGCAGGTACGAGAAAACAGTCGTCAGCCAAGGTAAAGATCAACGTGGTCGACACGAACGACAACGACCCGACGTTCGATCAGTCGAATATGGAAGTGTGGATCGACGAGAACAAGCCGGCCGGTACATCGGTCGTGAAGATCACCGCGAAGGATCGTGACTCAGGCGAGAACGCCTACATCTCGTACAGCATCGACAATATCCAGAAGGTGCCGTTCGAAATCGACCACTTCTCCGGCATCGTGAAGACCAAGCAGGTGCTTGACTACGAAACCATGAAGAGGGAGTACTTGCTGCATGTGCGGGTCAGCGATTGGGGCCTGCCTTACCGACGTCAGGCCGAGATGCAGCTGCGCGTGAAGCTGCGCGACGTGAACGATAACAGGCCCCAGTTTGAAAGGATCGATTGCACCGGCCACGTGCCACGGTACGTACCCATAGGCTCCGAGATCATCACCGTGTCAGCCATCGATTTCGACGCGGGCAACATCATCAGTTATCGCATTGTCTCCGGCAACGAGGATGGTTGCTTTGCCCTGGACTCGGCCAGTGGCGTATTATCTGTCGCCTGTGACCTATCGGACGTCAAAGTTTCTGAGAGAATGGTGAACGTCACAGCCACTGATGGGTCTCACTTTGCTGACGTAAACCCTGTACATATACACCTGGTGAACGCGAAACGGAACTTAGGTTCACAGGCAAGGATCCTGTCGGATCAGACTGGTGCCTTCGAGTGTAGAGACACTGGGGTCGCTCGACGATTGACGGAAGCCATCGCAGCAGCAGAGAGGAACGACATGCCCTCCAAGGATGACGAGTACACGCTGATCCCAAGTAGATACGGTGAGAACGTGCACGCGCCAGAATTCGTCGATTTACCCAGTGAGATAAAGGTCAACGAGTCTGTGAAGATCGGTACGACTCTGGTGAGAATCCACGCTAGGGACAGGGACTTGGACTACAACGGGAAACTAGTGTTCTGCATTTCGGGCGGTGACAGAGACTCCGTGTTCGGTATCGATCCCGACACTGGTGATCTGAACGTGATAGGTTACCTGGACAGGGAACGCGAGAGCGAGTACTTTCTGAACATCAGCGTGTACGACTTAGGCAAACCGCAAAAGTCCGCATCGCGGATGTTGCCAGTCACGATACTCGACGTGAACGACAACGCGCCAAAATTCGAGAAGTCCCTGGCGAGCTTCCGGATATCAGAGACCGCGCTGAACGGAACGAACGTGTGGCGGGCGAACGCGACCGACTCGGATCTAGGGGAGAACGCGCGCGTCACTTATTCCCTAGTGACCGAAACCAACGATTTCCGCGTGGACTCTGTGACGGGTGTGTTGAGTGTTTTCGGGAGATTGGACAAGGAACGGCAGGAGATCTACGAGCTGAGGATACGGGCACAGGATAATGGCGGCAGAGGGACCGATGCGCCACCATTGTACTCGGATGCTTTAGTCAGGGTGACGGTAGATGATGTGAACGACAATGCTCCCAGTTTTGCGCTGTCCAGTTATACGGTGAAGATTCGAGAGGACGTGCCAATATGGACTGTAGTTGCTGTGGTGGACGCGACTGATCCAGATGAGGGCGCTGGTGGCGATATCGAGTACTTCTTGTCCGACACTATGGAGAGCGAGGGTTATTTCAAAGTAGACAAAGTGTCCGGTACTATCAGGATCACTCAGAGTTTGGACTTCGAGGAACGCCAGGTACATACTCTGACAATAGTGGCAAAGGACAGGGGTGAGCCGTCCTTATCCTCAGAGACGATGGTCATTATCGAAGTGGTCGACGTGAACGAGAATCTTCACACGCCAGTGTTCGATGATTTCGTAATGGCCGCGAGTGTGTTCGAGAATCAGCCTGTCGGGACCCTAGTGACTACTGTGCATGCCAAGGACGCGGACCCACTAGGCGGGGACTCCAGGATTGGATACACCATACGAGGCGGCGATGGCATCGGGATTTTCTCCATCGACAATGAAGGTGAGTACCTAATGATTCCTTTGTTTTATTGGCTTTCATTAGTTGGACTGAGTCGCAGAAATGTTCCAACACCTCCAACTGTACCACTTCAACCGTTTATTTCGTATGAGAGTGTATTGTACGGAACGGAAACGAATGTCAGGGCTTCTAATTTTTACACGTGATATATTTGTATATTCTTGCAGACCTGTTGCGATAGCGACTTTGAACAAATGTTACATTTTTGTAAACGTTGCGGAGGTTAAAGTTGCTTCTATAAAATTGGAAAAAAATACTTTCTTCAAAGCAACGACTTAGGGTAGTTCGCTGTACTTTCCTGTTCCATAAAAAGGAAAGTTGCAAATAGGTGCAAAACGACTGGTCTATCGCGCGAGGCGTTGTACGCGAAAATAAAGCGCTGGGGAAGAATATTAACGGGGAGTAGCATGGTGCGACAATATTTAACTTTTTCATCCGATTACCTTTAATCCCGTGCAATAACGCAAATTTATTGGCATTGCAAAGTTGCTACAGGACAGGTGCCGACAGCTTCCAGTAACAGGGCACTCCGTGAATCCATAAATTAACCGTACTCAATTAAACTCGATATTCATAAGCGTCCTATGAAACGAAACAATCTCACATTCTACCCTTATATATCTATCATTCCATCCGGGCGATGCAATTAAACCGACACATTTTTCCTTGTTAATCATGCCACATTTAACTATCATCGATTATACTCGTGTATCGTTACTCTAATATTATCATTACTATAATATTAATGTCCTAACAATTAGATGCTTTATTTAAAAGTAGTATCAATAATTAGCATTAGCTGAAATTAGATTAATTAATATTATACTCTAATTGCAAATAGTTCTTTAATGTAATACACAAAACTGGCCCCAAAGAAAGTCCACGACTACCGTTCATTTACGCAATACAAAAATACAGGAATCTCATTCTCTCGCGAGATATCGATTAACGAGAAATTCGGATCTTAAACAAGAGATAGAATCAATCGACGTCAACGTTTATTTAAATTCCAGCCTGTCTTTTGATGCGGTATTAAACCATCCGGTTGTCGAACCTGTCGTTTGCATATTAACCTTTCTTCATCCCATTCTTTCTTCTTTCTCTTTTTTCCCCTTTTTTACGGAAAACTTTCTCCCCCGGGGCCTTTTTGTCACGCCAACGGCCAATTTAAATTCATTTCTTCGCCGACTTTGAAATTTCACAGGCGAAATTCTTTGTCTGTCCCGCTGGAAACGGTCGATAGTTCGCTGCTCGAACGCTCTATGAAAATGTTAGCCCGAGTTCCCGCGTGCTTTTAGACAGCAACTTTCGTATAATGCGTTGAATTCGGTTAGTTCGCGAGTTTCTTGCTTCTGAATTTGACAGCTTCACGGCCGTACAGAGTCTGTGAGAGCGAGTTCCGGAGGAAAGAAACTTGTAATGGCGTTTCTTTGTGTCTCCCGACTTGGCTTGGTAGCATGGCTGTCAGCCTGGTTGTTCCTTTCACGCGTAACACTTGTAATGGAATCTTTTTCTTCCGAATTTTAGTCACGTGCTCTTTCCTTCGTGTTTGTCAGCGATACAGAAATAATTGAACAATACCGAGATTGATAAAAGTTGGGTTATTTCCGGATTCGAATCTTTTATTTATCTTTCTATTCTTTAACTGTAGCCTTGTTACTGGAGTATTTTTGATAAGTAGAATATGCATCATGGTATTTAATTAATTATAATTTAGTGACTGCAAGTGAAAATAAAATGATTATATTATTACAGAAAAACTGCCTGTCTCTCATAGCATGTCCTAGATTAGGTACCAGACGTGAGATGTATAGCTTAGGTACGAGATATATGTTATATACGTTAGATCTTAGACGCTTGACGTATAGGTCAGCTACAAGTTAATAAGAGAGAAGCTACATACGTGTTGGATATAGTTACGAACATATAACATTAAGTTAAATTTCAAAAATATATCTTAGAAGTAAGTAACATTGCCCAACAGCCCCACAGAAAGAAAAATCAAAACTGATAAAATATCTGTAGGCACACTGTGCTCTATTTCTATTATTTTAATATGATTACTAGTCCTTTCGGACTATAACTGATATGTAATCTCAATTAACACGTAGTCGCTCTATGAAGAAAACAGAAAATCATAGTGTCACGTGGTATCACATTACATGGCATACAAATACAAATGCATCCACTCTCATCTAACAGATGTGATTAAAAGGAGAATTGCATTAAATCCCAATAAGCCAAGCAGAAATTGTGAGCTGCCAAAAATATCTCAAAAATAAATTAAAAAATAGGAAAAAGGCATTCTTCAATACTTTCACTCAAAAATAAAGAGAAAAGGAATTCCAGTAATTCGCAACAGGTCAAAGAGACATCTGGTATCCCCATCTAGAAGTCGTCTCTCAGCGACTCGCGTTTCTCTTGCAAATCGGCTCGTGTTTTCGTAGGCGGAAACCCCATCCCCAACCTCCGGAAGGGTGAATCGAGCGCGACAATACTCTAAAATCGGGCTCCCGATCCGGTGGCAACCATTCCAATTTATTCCTCGAAACCTTCCAACCTTACGTTCCACAGGACTTGTCTTTTTTCCGCTTTGCTTGCTTCGCTCGTTTTAGAACCTTCTCATCCATTTCGTGTCACCTTCGATCGGTCTGAGGAAAACGAAACAAAAGCTGCAGGAAAATAAAGGAAAAGAGTGGAAAAAAATAAAAGAAGACGAGAAACGGAAGGGAAGGAGAATGAGAGAGACAGAGAGGGAGAGAGAGGGGGAGAGAAGGAGAAAGAAAGAAAGGTAGCAAGGGAATACATGCAACGCTTTTACGTCCCAGAGCCGATGCTTCGTGGCAGTAGTCCAAAACGAAGTTACAGCGTCGCGGGCCATTAAATACCGACGCAGCGGGTTTAATTGAATTATGGGGACTCGCAAGAGGTCTCTTTTTTCCTGGGCCAAGCCTGGTCGTGCATTAAATTTCTACCCGCGGTCTTCCTTTCACCGCGAAAACCAACTCGAGAAATAGCGTGTCATCCCGTTTAATAGTTCGACTACCCCACTACTCGAAGGCACTGCGTAGCTCGGGCCACTTATATCACAAGCTACCTTGCTTCTTCTTCGGCCCCATTCTCAGTGAGTATTATTAATTTCGAAGAGGTATGTGAGAAAATCGGCCGTCGCGTTGCTTGTTTCTTGATTATCGGCAATGTTGAAAGAACGTGTTTTTCTTTTCCCTTTCTCTCTTTTCTTCAGTGTCGCTGGGAGGAGATTGTGGGGTTAATGGTATATTTGATTGAGTTGATTTGTGGTTTATAGTTGTAGCGAATATCGTAGCTAATTTAAGGTAGAAGTTTTGGACACACAGCAACAGTCTGTTACTAATTGGACTGCATTTTTTTCGTGGATTAACTATTAACTGTTTATACTACATGTAACTTTCTTCCCTATGGGTCCCCACCCAATTTCTGAACCCAAATAAACAAGAAAGAAAAAAGAAATAAAGGAAAAGGTGAAAATGAATGGATTTGTAAAATGCGAACGGTACTGTTTTAAAGGCTACCTAGGACCGCTTCGTACTTCAAGAACGCCCCCCATCGACGGAACTTGTCTTCCCGTTGTTTCACCTTGACAGTCGCGACGCGACTAATCCGGGATTCTTGTGCTGGATCTCCTTATTTTTCATTTCCAGCTTAAAACGGACTATTTTCTCGAACGAGCTCCGAGAAAGCTCAGTACCAGTCCGGATTACTCGAAGCATGACTGGTCCAGAATATTTCCTAAAATCTCATCGCGTCAACTCGCTTCTTCCTCGCTTCATCCACCCCCCGCCTGTCAGGAAAGAAGCTTAATTGATATAAACGCGATGCAAACGACACGGAGTACCGGTTACTATCGCGACCAACCTATTTTACCTCTACCTCTTTCTCCTCTTCTTCTTCTATTCCTCTCCTTCTTTTTTCATCGACGCAATCTATTTATTAATAACCATCGCGGTTGGGTTTATGGGCCTTCTGCAGGTCTTTCACAACTTGAAATCTCCAATACTTACGAAAAAGAAAAAATTTACAGTACAATAAAATCAGTGACACGACTTACAACAGTTTCGGAATTTTACAGAGTTGCTGATTTAAATATTCAACCCCTAAGTCTGATATCGTAGCATTGAGAAAGAATCCTGAAATTGTTTTCTTAATCCACCCTGTCTCGTATAAAATCTGTCCTTACTCAATCACCTTACTCGTCAAAGATGAATGGTACTAACAAAAGGTATCAACTCCAGTCAGTTCACACAATTTACGTACACAGCTCCCTCCATCTACTTGCGCGATACTCCCCGAGCGAGACAATGTCCTGTGCAGCTAGTTCGTGCGTGGTCGAATGTGTGCTGCGCGGGGGTTGTATCGATTCCTAGTCGAGCAAAAATAATGCATTGTCGGTGGTATGCATATTCAGCCGGTGTAAATATTCATAAGTTGTGCCGGTGTATTGTCTTCGTGTTTGAAGTACGGCCGATGGCGACGTCGTTCGTAGTATTAGTGCCCGTTCCTGGCCTGACAAATCTCGTAACCATGGCCCAGCATTCTCGTGAGCAAAGGGTGGATATTCGTTGCGCAGATCTTGTTAGGCTCGGACTCAATGGCAGCCGTTTGCTGAGAAATAGTTGCGAACGATTTGGGTCAAAGAAACATAAATCCTGGTATTACATTTGATCATGAATTTTCATTTTTCTATTCGTGCGAAATTTTTTTTCATTTTTCTTTGGAGAAATATTATTTTCCGACTCGGTCAATCATCTAATCATTTCACTAATTACTCCTACGACAAACATTATTATTTGACGTTTATGACCAGATGTATCACGTATGTGTTGTTACTGATGTCAACGGCATAGTAAGTGATACAAGGGAAAGGATTCGAAAGTTACGTAACTATTCCGGCCTTTTTTCTTTTTATTTTCAATTCTATTCAGGCAGCAAAGCAGCTCGACACATATCATAAAACCTATCATCTCAGTTAGCAGCTCTATTAATCCAATTATTAATAAATATATTTTTATTATAAAGAAATCTTAAGAACTTTATTCCTTACTTCGCAAACGTCCCCTAACTTCCAACGTAACAACATGTACATCCCAGACTTTGGATTCGAATACAGTCTAAAAAGGCTGTCCCCAGCAGCAAGCGTCTTGTCAAGCATGCGTTACACGGAACGCGAAGCAGGTTTATCACAAGTGAC